TTAAAGAAATACAAAAATTTAAAAGGTCAAGTTATTGGGGTAATTTGTATCGCTGTCAATAAATTTTTGCAATAATCTTATCAACCGTTATGTTAAATTACGGAGTTGTTACGATTTTTTTGGGGGTTATGTATTGAAAGCAAGGTTTGGTCTACTTTTTTCCAAAAGTTTAACCCATCAACTCCCACCAGAACGGGCCTTTTTACCCACTGTTTAAAAAATGGCTATAGATGGTTAAAATTTCCACTAAAATATAAAGCGCCAAATTTTTCTTAGGAGAACCGAATGTAATGAAAAATAATAGTAATTTTTAGCAAAAAGGGGGACTTTAAACCTGTGTAGAAGATATTGCGATGCGCGGGAGCAAAACCTTCCTGGGAATTGACCACCAATTAGAAATGCTAACGTAATTTTCGCACAGCCACCTAGTACTTGTATACGTCTGCGGGACCCCAGAATAAAATAAGTTACGAATGCACAAATTAGCAAAAAAAATAGTTTGCTTTTTATTAAAAGTGTGTTTATAATATTAAAAAAAAAAATACACAGGAAAATCAACTTATCTTTGTTTTATCTCCAATAATTGAGGAGTTAGATGCAATAAGGGCGCTTCTGTTAAAACTGCTTTCTGAGATATTGGCGTTAAAGTTTTAGTGTTATAACTTTCTTGTTGATGTAGTATATAAAAAAGTCGTATTGTTGTAGTATTGAAAAAAAAATTGTCTACTGCGGAAAAAAATTGTCAGATTACCAGTATTCGACCCTAATTTAACTGTAATAAACGCTTTCGATTGAAAAACGAGTTACCGATGTTTTTTCTGAGTTAACTCTTTTTTTGGAAATGTTCAGTGGCCCAAATTAAGCGAAAAAAAAAACTCCTTTAAAGATGTAATTTTCATTTTCTAAAATAGTGTTTTTTTACGAGTAGTACAAAATTCCTTAGGCGCCGAACGCCACCGCCGCCGCCGCCGCGCCGATATTTTCGTAATTCGGCGGCGGCGCGTGAAAAATGACAAAAAACGGCGGCGGCGGCGGCGTGGCTCGGCGGCGTATACCTCTAATATGTACGTACAAATTTATGCGTTTGGCTTTTTGCATGAATAGAAAATTTTATTGCAGAAATAATTTTAATGAAATTAATTTTACAAACACATTTGTACTAGTTATATAATATTAAGTTTGTTAGTTAATATCGGTATTTTGATAACAAGCCATAATTTGTTAGACACACACACGTACATACACGGGCAATCAAAAGTGATTGCATGGTTCTTTTTTGTATAATATTTACAATGTTTTTCAAGTAAAAATTTTTTTGTTATATTTTTAAAAAAATATGGTTCATGCTTTAATCGAAACCACATAAGTCAAACTTTAAAAATTTATACAGAACGTAGAAAAATTCAACAAATTTTCATCTAAATTTTCTACTTTTGGGTACGTAGATAGATGGTTATATATGTAATTCTAGTGAAACAAGTGAACGTTTTAAGCGGATAAAAAATCGCGTTAATTTTTAATGAATTTTTTTCCGACGGTTTTGCGGTTTTATGCATATAACAGGTGTAATTTATAAAATATAGTGTTTATTTTTTTATTTTGTTTGGAAACGGTCTTGCGCATTTTATTCTACAAGAAATTCGCTTTTATGTATATGGTAAAAAGTACAAGCCGTCCGCAATAAAAAATCATTAAAAATCTACGCGATTTTTTAGCCGCGTAAGACTTGCACTTGCTTTTCTACCGATCTATCATTCTAAAAACTCAGATTAAAAAGTTCAAAATTTAGACGAAAATTTGTTGAATTTTTCTAAGTTTTGTATAAAGTTTGACTTATGTGGTTTTGATTAAAGCATTAACCATATTTTTATACAAAAAAATAACGAAACAATTTTAACCGCGCGCAGCATTTGTTTATTTGCATATGTGCATACATATAAATGCATCTACATAGGTACTATGTATATGTATTTACAAACATTTTTATGCGCTTGCCTTTTAGCGTGTTTAAAATTTTTTCAATGAAGAATTTACTAATTGTTGACGAAAATATGGTTTACAAAATTTTCGCAAATTTATATTAGTTAATTGGAATTTTTATGAAAATAACGTTTTCCCAAAATTTATCCAGAAATTGTTTGTAATAACTAATTAATGTTTTAGATTTAATTCAATGAAAGGGGCATTAAAATAACTACCAAAAGTCATTTTTGTTGATAGATATAAACGTGCACAAAAATAACATTTCACAATTGCTAATTTATTCGAATTCTGTTATTTTGTGCCGCTCTGCGCTCACGCTGTTAAAAAATGGTGAGCTTCTAGAGCTATTGATGTTAAAAATTTAACGTGGTGAGCTTCTAGCCGATTTCTGATCTATTACAAAATACCAACGAGTAGCGTGTTGCTGCTTCTCTGTTTTAAACGTTCTCTGATTTGATTGCATGACGTTCTCATTTTTGACATTCTGCTTTGAACGACAAATGTGAAAAAGAATTTCCGCTTTTGCTTTTGTGAATTTGGCCAAAAAATCAGAAAATCTTGAACCAGAATGAGAGTTGGACGTGTGCGTGCGCGCCCTGGTTCCATCATCTCATATTTGTGTGTGTGTGAAAAAATTAAATTAATTATAATGACTTTGGTAACGAATGCAAAGGAAGATAATTGTTGAAAGAGTTGTAAACATAAACAATTTCGAAAGGCGCCGAATATTGTGAAAATCTATAATCGGTGTAATCTAGTGATTCGATTAAATAATTTTGAATAGGTATTAAAAAGTGAAAAAATTGTCAATTATGCCGCAGCACAAACGATTGATGTGGAAATTTCGCAGTGAAGACGCGTATTCGAGATTTTCCTGAATTTCGTTTCATGTATCTGAGTATACACACATACCTGCATACATATGTGTGCACTCGCAATGGAAAATTCAATAAATAGCACCAAAGTGTGGAAAACTAATATAGTGAAAAAACGTAATTGCTACTTAATTGTGCAGTATACATATATATATGCATCTACCACATAAAATAATTGTGAAAACACTTCAAAATTGTAACTAATTTAGGTGACTTCCATGGTATCATCACCCACACAGAATTAAATTTTCTGCACGTTGCCACCAAGGCACTGTATAACTAATCTTTACCATATAGACTATATTTAGGTGACTTCCATGGTATCATCACCCACACAGAAATAAAATTTCTGCACATTGCCACCGAAGCACTTCATTCTGTCAACGTTTACTTCTCATTGCTTTCATACCCAAAATTATTTTATAGACGTGGAAGATTCATGACTGTCTCGCCACATAATTTAAATTAATGCGCACGTACCTAACCATATATGTATGTATGTATAAACATACATATATGTATATCTATTCTTAATGCACCCGTCATTCCAGAAATAAAACAGGTTTCTTGTTTTCTAATCGCTCATTAAGAGCATCTGTATAAACATACATACTTACATAGATTGGTACATATGTATGTACATATATTTCTCTTCTTAGCTTGTGCGAATATTTACTTGCTCTGTATAACCAAAAATCTTTTTGTTTTTTTTTTTAATTTAGTCAATTAGGGTAATGTGAATTTCGACAGTTCCATATTTTCGGATTAAATACCTACCTACCAAGTGAAAATTGCACAAGGTTAGCAAAGCACGCTACCTCCGGCCGGATTGGCAGAACTTCCACCAACGCGTTCAGGCAATAATTGCGAAACGCAACTTTAAATACATATTTATTTATTTTGCAAATGAACCAGTAAAAAAATCCACAACGTTAAACATATCCATCCGTTTGCAATTCTAATTAAATTTAAGTCGCAAGACAAGTAATACAAAAATTGCATATAAGTATTGGCAAAATTGTTAGCAGCAATACTACAACATAAATACATATGTTTCTATATATGTAAGTCAACACTACGACTATCAATCTTCCACTGTTACTACAAACCAAATTAAATTTGGACGCATCATTCAATAGCATAAGTAAAACTATTACTTATAGAAATCTATCTCGGCGTCGACTTAAGCATCTGTAAAAGCATTTAACTCAGTCAACATGGATTGGGTCATTCATGATGAACTCGGTATTACTGTCGGTCATGTGGCTAGTGGAGCAGCAGCTTCCGCTATGGTAATCGGCGGTGTTATACCTTATGTACCGCAATATTTGGAGATCAAGAAAACACAAGATGCAGATGGATTTTCGCTTCACGTTTGTCTTGCTTTGCTGATTGCGAATTCTCTAAGAATTTTCTTCTGGTAAGTGAAATCCGTACTAATAACATGTACGCATTAAATTTTTCATTCCTTAACTTTTTGGTAGGTTTTTATAGGCGAATATGAATTACGCTAACTATATTTATATCCGAGCGCACTTGTGCACAAGGGTATATTAATTTTGTTCACATAACGGTTGTTTGTAACAGCCAAAACGAATCGAGATAGATATAGACAAATGTATACATA